GCAGAAGACAGAAATTCATACAGGAACAACTTGAGGGTGAGTATGATGACAGAAAGAATTCATTTATGTCATTATGTGTGAACTATCCCTTTAAATCTTCATTTGAGTCTCAGAATGTGACTCAGATCTGTTTTTGTCATGTGACTCAGATCTGTTTTTGTCATGTCAGTGTGAACCGCTCACACAACATGGAATCTGATCCTTTCAATTCCGATTTGGGTCACTTCCAAATGTGGTCCTAAATCCCGACACAGGTTTCAGACCAAATTCTGAACAACAGTCAAATCGGAATTCGTGTGACTTTATGTCACTCTCAGTCTCAACATTCGTCACAATTCTGCACTCATGGGAGTCACTTGTTAGAACAGTGACAAATACACAAGCAAAGCTTATAAGTGTTTAAAAAAAAAACGCATCATCGTCTTTGTTTTTTATATTTCCTTCGCATAAATTTGATGGATTCTTCAGCAGATCACACTATAAATAAACATGTAATCGCTTACTTTAATGTTCTCTGTGTTTATTTCCGTATATGTGTGTGTGTTATGGTGTATATATATATATATATAAGTTGCTGCCTTAAATTAAGTACAATCAGCTTTGATGTTTAAGTAATTTCAGCTTTACTTTAAACTGACTTAAAAGATAAGTTGAATCTTGAATAACATAAAAGGTTGAAAATTGCTTAGTTAACTTTAAAAAAAAAAACTTTTGCTGATAATTTACTCACCCCCATGTCATCCAAGATGTCCATGTCAGTCGAAAAGAAATTAAGGTTTTTGGTGAAAACATTCCAGGATTTTTTTTCCCAAATAATGGACTTCAATGGGAACCAAACGGTTCAAGGTCCAAAAGACATTTTCAGTGCAAACTGAGTCACAAATGTGCATCACAGAACAGAGCAAGGCGAGCATTTGAGCTTATAAAATTTAAACTTTGATATTTTGTTTTTAAATGAGGGATCGTTTCGCTTGATAAGACCCTTATTCGTCGTCTGGAATCGTTTAAAGCCCTTTGAACAGTTTGCAGTTTGCACTGAAAGTGTCTTTTGGACCTTGAACCGTTTGGTTCCCATTGAAGTCCATTATATGGAGAAAAATCCTGGAATATTTTCATCAAAAACCTTAATTTCTTTTCGACTGAAGAAAGAAAGACATGGACATCTTGGATGACATGGGGGTGAGTAAATTATCAGCAAACGTTTTTTTAAAAGTGAACTACTCCTTTAACTTAATTTGGTGAGTTTGTCATAACGTATTGATCGTATAATATATATAGGCTATACATAATTTATTTATTTTTTACGGTGAATCAGATATTGGCCAGACGTACAACAACATGTGTTTTGCTATACAAAAAAAAGGATCCGAGTAAAAACGTAGCCTATATGCACAAATTAGATTTGAGAGCTGTGGACTGACTCTTCATTTTTAGCTGAACTGATTGGCATTCAGTTGCTACAAAGTGTTATTCTGGCCTGCTGACTTTTGTGGTGGTTTGCCAAATTTTGAAAGTTTTTTTTTGCACATAGGCTTTCCATTTTGCAAGGCTTGTGCTAAAAACACTTTCTGGAGTGATTTGCTACTGACCTGTGTCCAATTTGTAGATGTCAGAATCGGATACTTTTTCACCCGTTTCATATCAAAGCAGCATCTGTTCCAATGCTTGCCTAAAAATATCACCCGTAATGGTTTCCTGATGCTCATCTCCTCAGCAACAGAAGCAAGGGTGAAAAAAACCTGCCTGACAGGAGTATCACTGAAAAGTATTGCCCTCTCTCTTTTTCTCTCTTTGATCGCAGTTTCTTTGAAGGTTATCAGGGAAACTGGGCTTTCAGAGTCTTGTTTTCACTCCCGAAAAAATATTTGCACTTGCATGTTTCTACAAAACTCCCACTCCCCCCTATTATTTATTTAAGGAGTACAAGTACTAATTTGCTAATTTGTCTGATTTAAGCATGGCTATTTGATGTGAACGACCCTTGAGAAATGCATGCATGTGCTTTTGATCCTGTGCTTCAGCATGTTTGTAGTCTTTTGAGTGTGCTTTAAACTTTAATGAGTCACACAACCGAATCAGAGGCAGATATCCCACACAACTCGGTGAATCAGCCGAGAATCCATCTGGAAAATCTGCTCTGCGTGTGTGACGGAGGGAGATGAAGCACTACCGTCTACGCCGCTGAGTCACCTAAAGTGTTGAAATGACACATTTTCTCTGTTTTTACACGCAAAATACATTTTTAGATTCCCAGGATTACTTGTACATGCACTTCATTTTGTGGACTGGGATGCTTTTTAACAAACACTTTCCTTGACTGCAGGTTGAATAGACAAAGAATTGCAATGAAATCAACAGCAGAATATTTATATTTAAAAATGTGTCTGCCTTACAAAGCAAATTCTTATTTGCAGTCATTTTATTTGATCTGTAGTTGCCATTTTGTGTTGATATGAAACATATTAACAGTTATGTTAACAATTTTCAGTATTTTTGGTTAAATAAATGCAGCCTTGTCAGTATAAGAGACTTCCTTCAAAACATTCACTGTAAAAAAAAATATATATATATTATTGGTTTAACTTAAAAAAAATTAAGTAACCTGATTGCCTTAATATTTTAAGTTCATTCATTGAAATGGAAAAATTGAGTTAATACAATGAAGGAGATTGATTTAATCATCAGAAACTCAAAATATTATGTTATCTGAACCAGATAAATTATTTAAGTTGATATGACAAAAGAAAAAATGTTGTGATTACAAATCATGAAAATAATATATATATTTTTTTTAACAGTATTGATTCCAATTAGAAACAAAGTGTTTGCAACATTAATAATCTTTCTTTCTCCAACTGTTGGTGGAATCCAGGTTAAATGACACATTTGCAGGTGGGTCATTGGAGAGGTCAGTCAGTGTGATGACCTGTGTCTGAGACGAGATCACAATGTTCTTCATTAAATGGTTCAGTCTGTTGATGTCTATTGTTGCATCGACCAACACAGTGTGGCAGCCAAAACCCAAACATAGATGCTCCAATTAAACGAGAAGAGGCTTTGTTGTCATGCCGTGGTGAGGATTTTTGCATTAAATAAACAGAAATTGAATCATTTATTTTTGTTGAATATTCTGGATTGTAGTGCATACAATCATATGACAATTCACTGACAACTCATTCCATAGCCTAATGATAATGATTCTATGACTTTTTTGGCAAGTAGCTACGATTACTGCAAACATTCAGATCTGGGTTCTTCTGACCCAGAGAGCGCAGTTATCATGTTTAGGTATGAAAACGCTTCACAAACGAGTCTTTTCAACCACACATTGTCATTATTTCTTTCTTACAGTAACTGCTATCACAAAGTAGCTACTGGGATAAGTTTACATTTCAGATATAAACATCAATGTCTACGGTTGCGGTCAAAATAGACTAAAACAGCTTTAGTACGTGACTTTTCAAATAAAGATTGTATCAGTTACATCGTTACACCAGTAGGTGGCGTTAAGTGAAAAATGTGTACTTGTTGTAGACCTTATCTAGCCCCGCCCCTTTTCAGCGCTGCGTCTTCCGGTCTGTATTTTCAGTGATCTTGCCTAGCCTATTTATGAATGAACGGCTCGTTTTAAAATCTTCCCGCTCTATTGACATTTGTTAAAACATCTGCTTTAAACATTACAATCCTCATGATAACTTTAGTTAACTTTACATTAAGTAAATCCACTTTAAAGCGAATTATTCCTGGACAGCAATGCCATAGCCTAGAGATATACATCGACCACAAAACCGGAAGTTCTAAAACATTATTCATTATTAAGATGGCGGCGACCTTGTTTCTCTGGTGCATAAGGTCTATTAAATAATTTATTCAATAGATTCGTTCAAAAACGCCGATTCATCTAAGCAAATGAAGCATTTGAGTGATTGAGGCATTGAATCATTCATTCAAATTGAGTAATTAATTCAAATTATTTATATTTTAGTCAATGCTTTGTCAGGAATTTTAACTTTACTTTAGTTATTTTGGTAGTTATCTTCTCAGAATCGTGATTCTCAATTTATTCTCCATTTTCTCTCTCTCTCTCTCTCTCTCTCTCTCTCTCTCTCTCTCTCTCTCTCTCTCTCTCTCTCTCTCTCTCTCTCTCTCTCTCTCTCTGTGTGTGTGTGTGTGTGTGTGTGTGTGTGTGTGTGTGTGTGTATATGTGTATGCACACTTTTGGCATGAACCGATTGAACAAGATTGCGAGTCAATCTTGACTTTTTGTAGCCTATTTGTGTGTGTGTTTTTGGGGGAGGTGTCTGTTCTTGGTGTAATTTTTATCCTATTGGAATCTTGATTAAGACTGTAATTATAATTAGCTTTATAATAGCAATACAAGTTTGAGGGAAGTGCTCTCCAACTATTAAAAATCTGTTGCTCTTTCAAATCTAAGAAGCCGTAACGGAGATGTCAAATATGATTCATTCAAGTATCGACTTTATCTCTGATGTTTCTCCTGATGCAATTAACCACATTGAATTTTCCCCCTCAAAGTTAGCCTATAAATAAAGCAAATATTTCACTATTTCAGTTTTATTCACTTTAAAATTTCATGTATTTCATGAAATTAGCAATTCCTGGGTGAAAACTGTTTTAAACTGTCACCAATCTGGTTTTGAAAGAATTTGATTTGATTTAGGCTAATTGATTTCATATTGTGGCTTCCACTGCTCAATATTAAATATGGTCTTGAGATATTGTTGAGATCTTTGCTAAATCTCTGAGGACGTGCGAGATTAACAGGGTATTTTTCTCAAGGGACAAATTGAGAAGAATGCTGGTCTCCAGCTTCTCTTTCATTTAATCTATAGAAGAAACAATTAAGATATTAATTAGAACAAATTATCCAAGGGTGTACACTTTGCCTAACCGATTGTAGGTTATCAGTGTGTGTGTGTGTGTGTGTGTGTCTGTGTATGTGTGTGTGCGCGCGCACGCGTGTGTGTTTGAGGGAAAGACAGAGAGAGATCCATCCCCCTCTCGGATGGTTAGGTTCCTCATTCTGAAGCCCGCGGATGATGCTCGTGTTTACGCAGCGCTCGGCGTCTGACCGGTGGATGTGAATATCAGTTTATACGTCGCACATACTGATTCATGAACATCGCCAAAGGATCCGCTGGAGAGACGTTCCGTTCCAGACTGCAGGTGGATGTATGGCGTTATTAACAATCACTTAAACCAATCCCTCCTCAGACATTGATATCTTCATATGCACGTGAATCTTTTGCTTTTGAAAGGGCTTTCAGCGGGCGGGCACACACTGCGCCGTGCGTCTTAACGCAGGGCTGCTCTTTTGGACCCGTGCCACGGTTGTCTGTCTCCGTCCGTTCACCCAACCACACCTACCCGTTATATCCTCACCGAATTGCAGCAGCAGCAGCAGCGTCCCCACACAGGATCCCGACTGATCCCGACGCGAAGGGGACATTGTGTCTGAGTGAGCGGGTGGAAGAACGCGGATCCACTGCGCTATAAACGCCTGGTGCGCACCCGACCCGCTCAGAGACGCCCGTGTTTTACCGACATGTCAGCCCGGTGCGCGTGATCGCTTTGGAGGAGAGGCAGGTGAAATTACCAGCTTTGTCCCGCATCCTGCGCCAAGAAGAAACGCATCACCTTGGGGATTTAAACACACCGACATCCAACTTACCAGGTGAGCCGGCCAGTCACTGTGGCACAGATGTAATGCAGAGTCAGAAATTAACTTTTGTAATTTAGAAAATGGACAGCAGCGGCATTTTGTCAGGGTTTTAATTGCTGTTTGAATCTTTTTCCATCACAAACTCTTCGCTTCCCAGTGTCTGATGCTGAGGCACTAACTAAACCCATAACCATTGGCCTAAAATAATAGGTATTGTGAAAAATACACAAACAGAGGGTGGCTCCCATATGGAGCTTTTTTATGTCACTTTATTTGCACCGAGCTCTTGTTCATTTCTGACAATGATGCACATTAGATCTTGTAGGTTCACCAAGCCAATATCCACCCTAGTCAGAAAACCCTGGAGGAATATTTATGAAATAGCATTGACATTTGGAACCAAACTTAATGGGATTCATAAGAACCCTAACTCGATAAACTCTCATTCTTTTTAAAATTAAAAATGTCTGTTTGTGTTGTACTGGAACAATGTGATGCTACTGGGCAGTTATTAAAGGTAATCACATGGAAGCGAAGAGTTTGTGGAATATTTTCCTTACATTCTTTTTGATGAAGGGCATTTGTTAGTACTTTTGGGAATTGTGTGTTCTGAAAGATCACAATAAGTCCTTAAAGGGTTTTTACATCAACCCAATTTATGAATGATTTCGTTCAGATTCGGAAAACAAATGAAAAGCTTTCTGTCGCTCCATTGACAGCCTACGCAACTACCACTTTCAAGCTCCAGAAATACAGGAAAGGCATTTTCTTTTAGCACCAAGTCTTATGTGTGTTGATGCAAGAGCAGACGGTGTAAAGTTAATGCGCGTTGGAGATTCATATTTTGTAAAAAAAAAAACTTGAAAGTGTTAGTTGCGTAGCTGTCAATGGAGGGTCAGAAAGCTCTCTGATTTCACCCAAAAATGAAAATTCTGTCATTAATTACTCAAACTCATGTCGTTCCAACCCTCTAAGACTCGTTCGGAACATAAATGAAGATTTTTTTTAATGAAATCAGCAACCTGATCTCACGGGAATACGTACGAATTTTACGAGGTGGCTAATTCGTAACAATTCGTACGACCTCACTCGTACGATTTTGCTAAATGGTACATATTTTACGAATTAGCCAATTCGTACGAGTGATTCAAAAGTGGCTAATTGGTACTAATTCATACGACCTCACTCCCATGTGACGGTTATGTTTAGGGGCGGGGTCAGGGGTAGGTCATTCGTACGAGTTCATATGAATTGGCTAATTCGTAAAATATGTACCATTTAGCAAAATCGTACGAGTGAGGTCGTACGAATTGTTACGAATTAGCCACCTCGTAAAATTCGTACGAATTCCCGTGAGATCAGGTTGCTGATTTCATTAAAAAAATCTTCATTTATGTTCCGAACGAGTCTTAGAGGGTTGGAACGACATGAGTTTGAGTAATTAATGACAGAATTTTCATTTTTGGGTGAACTAACCCTTTAAGATGGTTAATCAAGTAATATTTACATAGTATGTACAAGTCATGCATCCTGGAGTAATATATATATATAACTTTCTATTTGAATATTGTATAGGATAGGTTACTGTAAGATTTCCAGGATTGTTTTGATTCTTGCTATTGTGAAATCTTTGTATGTCTTATACTCAAATAATGTTTTTCTGCTGGACATTTAAAGAAAGTCACAACAACAACAACAACAACAACAACAACAACAAGTTTATTTATATAGCACAGTTCACTCCATTAAAGTACTTCAATGTGCTTTACAGAAAGTAAAAAACATCATGAAAAAAATACCAGGTACAAAACATGCACAAAAAAGATAATAAAGATTTAATAAAAAAAATAAAAATAAAAATAAATAGACAGATTTAAAACTACACAGTATAGCTAATTTTAAGATCTCAGTCATAAGCTTGTGAGAAAAGAAAAGTTTTCAACTTAGATTTAAAAATCAATACAGTTGGGGCAGATCTAATATCTTGTGGTAGTTTGTTCCAGTCGTGTACAGCAGAGATGCTAAACGCAGCTTCTCCATATTTTGTTCTAACTCTGTGCTCCACTAGCTGACCTGAGTGTATTGATCTAAGAGTCCTGTTAGGTTTATATTTTTCAAACATTTCGGTAATGTACTCACTCAGGGCCTATTTTCACAAGGAAAATATGGCACTGTTCACATTCCTTTTCACATTCCTCTCGTTTTCATTCGGCTGGATTTCAGTAGCCTGTCTCATAGTTCATGCATGCGAGATCCATATCTTGCAAAAGTGTTTCGTTTGTAATTCGCTCACGTGCGGGGTGAGTGATCTGATGCGGTGTGGTTTCACTGGTTCATCGTTCTATTGTTGTGAATGCATGCACACTCCAGGCCCGCTGATGCTTCATAATTCTGCGGCTCTTGCTGGTAATAAACAAACCTCTCCAGTGCCGGGCTTATGTAAAGCACGTTTTGCATGTCAACAGAGTTTCTGAAGACAAAGCTTTCATATATTGGCTGGGAGGATATCTGAGCGGTAAGATATGGGGATCATTTCACCATGTGCTTTGGGATATACATGCATGACTGAAATGCAATCGCCACCTGGATTCAGCCTTTGTTCTTTACGTTCTATATGTGATGATTGTCAGGGTTTATTGCTCTATAGTAGGTTTGCATTATTTATAAGCTTAGTTAAGAGGAATTGGTTCCTTTGTTTCCAAGGAAAACCAACCATTTATAACTTCAACTTAACTGGGAGCAAGCTTTGAAAAGCTGTTGTGGTGGTTGTATACCGTGGCACAGTGAGGCTGTGAGGATTACCTGGTTTACAGTGGAACCATAGGACTACCTTCACCAAAGAAGCTTTCAGGATGTTTACATTTGATAATTTTTTTTTAATGATGTCTGATGGTGTCAAGTTCATTGCAGTGTGTTTTATGGAGCTATAACTGTCAATTTGTGAACATTATAGTTAATGCATAAGGTATCTTGAACTAATAATATATAATACTGTATGGCCTTTTATTCATCTAGGTTAATGTTAATTTCTACATTTAATTTTATTCGGGAAACACAGACAGACAGACAGGATGGACAGACAGATGAAGGGACAGATATCTATCTATCTATCTATATATCTATCGATCGATCGATCGATCGATTGATAGATATATTGAGAGATAGATAGACTGACAGATAGATAGACATGCAGACAGACAGATTGACAAATATATAGACAGACAGACAGACAGACAGACAGACAGACAGACAGACAGACAGACAGACAGATAGATAGATAGATAGATAGATAGATAGATAGATAGATAGATAGATAGATAGATAGATAGATAGATAGATAGATAGATAGATAGATAGGCAGGCAGACAGACAGACAGACAGAGATGGATGGATGGATGGATGGATAGATAGATAGATGGATATGATGGATGTAGATAGATAGATAGATAGATAGATAGATAGATAGATAGATAGATAGATAGATAGATGGATGGATGGATGGATGGATGGATAGATAGATGGATGGATGGGTGGATGGATAGATAGATAGATGGATATGATGGATGTAGATAGATAGATAGATAGATAGATGGATGGATGGATGGATGGATGGATGGATAGATAGATATGATGGATGTAGATAGATAGATAGATAGATAGATAGATAGATAGATAGATAGATAGATAGATAGATAGATATGATGGATGTAGATAGACAGACAGACAGATATAAATAGATAGATAGATAGATAGATAGATAGATAGATAGACAGTCAGACAGACAGATATATATATATATGTGTGTGTGTGTATCTGTCTGACTATCTATCTATCTATCGATCTATCTATCTATATAGACAGACAGACAGACAGACAGATAGATAGACAGACAGACAGACAGACAGACAGACAGACAGACAGACAGATAGACAGATAGACAGATAGATAGATAGATAGATAGATAGATAGATAGATAGATAGATAGATAGATAGATAGAGATTGACACTTAGATAGAGAGAGACAGACAGATGGATGGGTGGACGGACAGACGGACGGATGGATAGATAGATATGTGTGAGACAGTATCTTCTTGAGAATGACAGAAATATCCTACATCAAGGTGTTGTAAAATCAAGCTGGCCTTTAACTGCCTGTTGTTTTTCTTTTTGCTGACGTGTTTCTTTGCCCTTTTAGGCGCTGCAAGATTTATTTATATTATTTATTTATTTTGCCCATAGGTTCCATGACTTTCAAAAATAAATCATATGTGAAGACAGACTTCCAGGGGAGAACAGAATACTTAGATAGCCGATAAGAATCACAGATAACAGTGGAAACGTACACGAGCTGCGTGTTGTTCAGATGACATGAGCTAAAATGTTTGTGTTTGACTCCACTTCACAGTAAATAACAACTAGATTCATACATTTTTTTTTTTGCTTGCTTGTGCAAAATTCTCCATCACGATGCTAGATTGATCTGGGTGGTTGCCAAGGTGTTGCTATGCAGTTATCAGAGTTGTTATCATGGTTGCTTAAGATGGTTGCTAGGTGACCAATTCAAAAGTGCCTCTACCGTTCACCAAGAGAAAATCATTACTTTGGTCACAAAGAAAAATAACAGCACACCTCTTCTCAATAAGCAAAACGATTGGATATATAATTCACACAAAAGACTCGGGTGTAGATTAAGTCACTAACCCAAAGTATGAGCAACAGTGATAGTGATAGCACTAAGCTGTTGGATCTGTATTTTGTAACCTGAAAAATAATTGGTGTTTACTTTGAAACCATTTTTGAGATTGCTATTCAATTTCAGAAATAATTTCAAAGCAAAAGCAAGATTTGTTAGAGTGATTGTTGTTATTCACAAAACTGGAAACGGTAATACGATTTTCACACAACTGCTTCCTTTTCTAAGATCAGCTGGCCGACAGAGTGTGTGTGTGCAAAAGAAAGACCCAAAGATGCATGGATTGAGCTGGAATTGCTAGCAAGGATTGATAGTGAAT